TTAAGCCAGCCCAAGCACAAGGGCTTTGCTTGCCCCTGGCACAGAAAGACTCAGCCTACCGTGCAGTGACAGCGAAGGGATGACTGTCTGCACTCTGTTGTTCTCAGCTCCTTCTAGCAGGCAGTAGGTGGGCAGGTCGGCACGGTGGGAGACAGCTGCCCGGGAGCTGGGAAACCTGGCTTCTAGCCCTGATTCTGCCACTGACTGAATTTGGGGTGTTGGGCACACTTGACGCAGAAGGCCGATGAGGTCACCTCTAGGGCAACTGACATCGTTTTATTCTGCAGCCAGGAAAGCAGTTCCAAGTTTACAGGACAAACCAGGAAAGGAGGCCTCTGGGGTTGCACTGCAGGTTTCTGGACCCTTCCCCAAATATCCCACCAGGGACTTCAGCCTTCTCCCCTAGAGACCCCTTCCCCACCCACCACCAAAAGAAAGAGGGGCACTTACCAAAGCTTGGAAATGAGATTAACCTAAAATCTAAGAATACATCTTTTCACACATTTGGAAGTAGGAAGAGAGGGAAAAAGTGTGGTGTCTTTTAAATTATTTTTTTTAATTAAAGCAAATGTTTAAAGATATATGCACAAAGTTATTTACAGCAGCATCGGATATAGTAGGAAAAAAATGACAGGAAAGATGGGAAACAACTTTCATGTCCATCTGTAAGGGCTCAGTTGGATAAATTATGGCAGAGTTGCACACTGGTCACTACTGTCATTAAAATAATAAGAGGGACCACGACGTGCTGCCTCACAAGATGTCCATGATGTAGCGTTAGCAAAAGACACAGATTACACCAAAGAATGTTGAGTAAAATCCCTAATCACTGTTATATTTATACACACACACATACCCATGTGTACATACATGCACAGCCATGCACACACCCATGCATACACACACATGCACATAGCCATACACACCCATGCATGTACACGCACACACACGCACACAGACATGCAGACACCCATGCACACACATACACATGCACACAGCCATGCACACAGCCATGCACACACACACATGCGCATAGCCATACACACCCATGCATGTACACGCACACACACGCACACAGACATGCAGACACCCATGCACACACACACACATGCACACAGCCATGCACACAGCCATGCACATAGCCATACACACCCATGCATGCACCTGCGCACACACACGCACACAGACATGCAGACAGCCCGAGCACATTAAGACTGGAAAGATTCCAGCAAACAAAGAATGATGGGAGTCCCTGGGGCTGGGATAACAGGGGATTTTCACTTTCTACAATTATGAGCTACTGGACTTTTTTTTTTTTTAAACAACAAGCAGTATTAGTTTCATCAGCAAAAACAATAAAAATATTCCCATTCTGACAACAAAATAACTATTCTAGATAGATGCAAAGTACTATTGGCCTTCAGAGAAAAACAAGCAGGATAAAAGTCACTTTGCCGTAAAAACACACCAGAAAAAAACTCAAGCTTGGGAAGGAGGAAGCACCAGGTCTAGGTTTCAAAGCCCCCAAATTCCCTCTACAAATGGCAAATTCCCTCCACTCTCCACTTCAATTGTAAACCCTCTCAGGTCGGTCTGCTCTCCGCAAATATTAGTAATGAGGAGGAGGAGGCAAGGTTGATATTTATGAAGCATTCAGTATGCGCCAGGTACCGTGCTCAGTACTTTGCACATGTTCTTCGTTTTCATCTTCACCACATTCTCCGAGGTAAGGGTTATTACTGTTCCCATTTAACAGATGGAGAAACCGAGGCCCAGCTCAAGGATTCAAGCCCAGGCAGTCTGACCCTAAAGCCTGTGACTGTGGCCAACGCTCCAGCCACCCTTCTGGGTACAAAGCCCCATCGGACCAATGACTCCAGGGTCTGTCACCTCCATCTGCCTCCACCTTCTCCTTTCCCTACTCGATGCTGGCTGGGGCCTTCTGGGTAAAAGGTGCTGGCCCGCCTCTGGGGGACCCAAGCCTAATACCATGTAGACTGTGCGCTCTGCCAGCTCACAGGGGAGCAGAAAAGAGAAGACAGATCTGCAAGTTCTGAGACCGCGTCCGCCTGAGCAAGTGCCATGAGAGAGAAGGCAGGGCTGCTGCACTTCCTCCACCGCGGCGTCCCCAGGCAGCCTTCCCAAAGACGACTCTCTAGCAGCTGGGGCCGCCGCTGATGTGGTGGCCGGCCACCGCCCAGCCTCTCTCTGGGGTCTCTCACTCACATTTGCCAACCCGGGGCCCCCCAAATACAGCAGAAAGAGAGCTGATAAGGGCACGCCAGGGCATTCGTGATGGTGGATGGGTGCCAACTGACTGCTGTGCGGGTGCGAAGGACGGGAGCCAGACCCACACTCGGGACACCAGGACCCAGAGCCTTGCCGGATCCCGCATGGACACCACTCCTGCTTGCTAAATGGATGTGTGCCGGCCCACAGTGCAAACTGGTACAGCCACTGTGGACAACTCCTGGGCAGTATCTCCTAAAGCTGAGTGTGTACATCCCACGACCCAGCCACTGCACTCCCGGGCGTGTGCCCGGTGGAAATGAGTGCAAGCGCTCACCAAACATACATACAAGACTGTCAGTAGCAGCTTTCTTCATCATAGCCGCAAACCACAAACTACCCAAAGAATGTCAACTAAAGAATGCACGAGTGAGGGTGCGCTCATACACTCGAGCGCTGCGCAACAACGAAAGAGTGAGCAGCCGCTTCGCACAGCAGCGTGGGTGACCTACAGTCAGACACCGAGGGAGAGAAGACAGACACAGAGTAGCACATGCTGTGTGAGTCCATTCATACAGTAAAAAGACTCTGTGGTAGCAGAGGCCAGACTAGTGGCTACTTTGGGATGGCTGTTAACTGGCAGGGAGCCTCTGGGATCTGGAATGTTCCATGTGTTAGCCTGGGTGGTGGTTCCACGGGCATGTTCATGTGTAAAAGTGCATCACACTGTATGTTTGAGATATGTCAATTTCACTATTTTTAAGTCACACCATAAAAAAGAGTTTAAAAGAAATCTTTTAAGTACACAAAGGTTGCAGTCAAGTCAACTTCTCTGGGCCTCCAGGTCAGAATTGGGGAGAAAAGTGTGATTTGATGGACAGGTAGAGATGCTTTTTTTTTTGTTAGAGGTCAATTAGTATGGATACGCTGGTATGAAAAATAATTTAAAACCCCATTTAAAATTTGAATAGACTTTTCAAACCATAAGAAGCCTCAAAAATCATAAGAAATGATAGTCATAAAACCAGACCCCTCAAAGAAGTCCTAAAGTGCCTAACTGTTCTTCCCTCCTCCCAGCCACTGGCAGTGGGGTCCCCCTGACCTCTTGACAACCTCAGCCCTTCACCTGCCAACCCCATGGGAGCTTTGGAGCCCAGTCCCTGTAGCTGCCCACGTTCCTCGAGAGCCACGGGAGCAGCTGCCCACCCTGGGTACGTCCCCATCCACGCCTCTCTGGGCTTCAGGACGGTCCTGGATGCCACCAAGTGCATCAGCAGGCTGGCGAAGGGGGTGCCTGGTACCCCCCATTCCCTATCAGTGATCCGTGTGCTGAGGCTTCTTTCTAAACGGGTATGTACCCACTCAGAGTGTACCCAGCATCCTAAGGGCAGCTGGTGGGCTGCAGAGAGTGGAGGGAGAGGTCATCCCATCAAGGCACCCCAGGCCCAAGCTGACTGAGTCACACTCCTACTCAGAAACCTTGGGCAGGACCCCTGAAGCCCAATGGGTAAAGCCCTTCACCGTCCCCTCAGCCAACCTCTCCAGACGCATCTCCCACCACAGCCCAGCCAGAGGGGTCCCTGCCAGTGACCCACAGCTTACCTCTGCTCCCCAAATAGAGAGAGCCCTTCTCACACCTGCCTTTACATAAGGCTCCCCCTCCACCTGAAATGTCCTTTCTCCCACTCAGGACTCCTACACACCCTTCACGTTGCCATGATGCCAGGCAGGCTTCTCCACTCGCTCTCCCCTCTCCCCACTCTCTTGCTTCAGGGCACCCTTGCCCGGGACGACAATCCATCTGTCTGTATTTCACTAGACGGGGAGCAGCTTAGGAAAGCGTGTCCTTTCCTGAGATCTTACGTGCCAGGCAGCGGGCTGGCCTGTTGCCCTCGGAGTCGATCCCCCAAACTCCTATGGAGTGACTGTTAGACTCAGCCCCATTTGACAGGTAGAAAAACTGAACTGTGGAGATGTTAGAGAGTTTGACCAAATCTAAAACCAGTCTGCACCGTGTGAAAGGTCTCCTGGAAGGCAGGGGTCACACTGTATTTCTCTCTCTCTCGCCAGCACTGCACTTGGCCTGTGATGGGTGCTTTCTTTGAGAAAAAGGAAGAGGGGATGGAAAAAAGGGTTGCAAGGAGTAGGCCCATGTGAGCCTTGGTCACCAGTAACAAGCCATCATCAGCCATAGCGAACATCAGCTCAGCTCCCCTAAGCTGCCGCAGAGGCGAGGAGGGCTCAGGAGACCAGTCCCATTACTTGCTACTCACCCCAAGGTTGGAGGCAAGGAGGGAGACGGGGAGGAAAGTTATCAAAGTCTGAAGCCTGGTAGGTTGCCTGGCCCCAGGGGATTTCACCTGGGTTGTCAGCCAAACACGTGCACGAGACCCCATAGTAAACATCTCTCCCTGGGCTGGTCATTACCAGACAGGACCTAAATCGAGCCTATCCAGAGATCCTCTCCAGTTTGGGAAGTGCTGGACCCCAAGGCCAAAGTCCAAAGTTCTTAGAACCAACACTGAGCCCCAGCCTGAACCACGCCCTCCACCCCCATAAGGAGGCAAATGGAGATTTTCTTAGAAGCATCAGCAAATTTGGAAGCTCCAGCTCAACTGGCTCCAGAGGAGGAGGGGCGACCCATCTGGTTGTCCACAGACAGGTGGGCGCTGGACAGACAGGTCAAACGATGACTTGTGGTCCACATCTCCCCCTGCTGGAGTCTTGCGTCCCTCCCATCGGGGTAGGAGAAGGGGACGCCCAGCGCTTACCTGTGCTATGTCCTGTTTCCTCCACTGACTGCTTGGTCCAGTCTCTGGCTTTGTTGATGTGAAATAACTTCAAGTCATCTTCATCTAAGGCAATGTCTCCCCAAAAGACAGCTGGGAAGAAAAAACATAGGTGGGTCCATTTGAGCTGGAGATCAAGAAAAATGGGTTTACCAATGCCCTGGAGGGTACTGGGTGTTGGGTAGTAAACTCTACAAAAGACAACCCACTCAATCAAATTTCTCCCTGAGCCTAAGAGATGGGGCTGCTAGAGAAAGAGGAATAATTCTGTGCATCAAAGCCAGGGAGCTGGGGGCCAACACCACAGCCGTCCAAATCCTAAGTCTGTAAGGTATTTTAAGGGGTCACCCTGTCTTACTCTAGGCACCCACCCTCACTCTAGGCAGCTCTGGGCAAAACCTCCACAAAAAGACAGCTGTTTCTTTCTTCTTTAGTGTCCCCAGGATGTGAAAGAAAAAGCATAAGGTGAGAATTTATACTATTGTTCATCATATTTGCTTCCCTTCCCTGGGGGAAGATTACATTTCTCTGATGTCAGGATGGGCCACATAACCTGCTCTGGCTAACTCAGTGTGAGAGGAAGCTTTAAGAGCAAGTGCATGATTCACGACATCCTCTTCGCCCCGTCCCAGAAGACAAGCTATGTTCCAGATGGGGGTAGCTCTATCATCCCAGCTTTAGGAGTAAAGATGATGAGGAGTACACTGTGGCTTAACAGGAAGGATATGCAGCATGGATAAGGAAAAAAAAAAAAAAAAACCCTGTTGTTTTTATACACCTCTGAGATTCATGGGCATTTGTTACTCATGACTTCTTCATCCTCACTAATACAGAAATTGCTGCCACAAGTGGTATGCTACTGTAACAAACTCCATTGTCTCTGGGCCAGGTATCAAGGAAACTGCTACTGAAGGCTGGAAGGCGGTGATCTATGTTACCCAGGGATGAAGTATTTGCTAAAACTGTTACCTATATTAACTCGGAAGGCACATGATGAACTGAATGAGCTTATGGCTTCCTGCGAAGAGACTGGGAGTCAGAATATCAACCCCATGCCGTGGTTGTTACTAGCTGTGTTCGACAAGGTAGTATAAGAAAGAAATTGGCTCAAAAAATTGGGCAATTTTAGTAGGAATGAAACAGAATAGAGAATCCAAAAATTCAGGGACTTGGAGAGATGGAAGAGCCAACCTATTCTCATAACTAAACGATAAAAGAAAACTGAGAAGAACTTTGAATAACAAAGGCTGATGAAAACTCAGCTTTGTGGTGTGGAGAAATGGGGACCCTCACGCATTCCTAATGGGAATGCAAAATGGTGCAGCCTTTATGGAAAACTGTTTGGCTATGGCTTTAAAATGTTAACTATAGACTTATTACAAGACCCAGCAACTCCACTCCTGGGGAATCTTCCCAAGAGAAATGAAAACATATGTCTACACAAAGACATATGTTCAAATGTTCAGAGCAGCCTTATTCATAATGGCCCCAAACTTGAAACAACCTAAATGTCCATTAACTGTTGAATGAATAAACAAAATGTGGTATATCTATACAGTGAAATGCTATTTAGCAACTAAAAGGAGCAAATTGTATAGACAGATGCTACAACATGTCTGAATCTCAAAAACATCATGCTAAATGAAAGAACCAAATGCAAAAGACTATATATTATTAATATATGATTCAATGTATATGAAATGTCTAGAAAACGCTAATTCATAGAACTACAAAGAACATTAGAAATTGCCTAGGGCTGGGGGCAGGAACAAGGATTGATTGCAAACAAGCATGTGGGAAGTTTTGGGGTGGTGGAAATGCTCTAAAACTGGATTGTGGTGTTGGTTGCACAACTATAAATTTACTAAAATCATTGAATTGTACTCCTACAATGGGTGAGTTATACAGTATGTAAATTACACTCAAGATGTCTGTTAAAGAAAAAAATGCAAACTTGTAGCAAGGACCAGTCAAGATATTGCCCCATAAATCAAATAAATCCTTTGGGGTTGGAAAAGAATTGTTCAGGTAAAGGAAACTAAGAATATGGTTATCTCACAGAAGCTTCATAAGTGCAAAGTAGCAGTAATTAAGTCAAGAGAGAGAGAGAGAGACGTTTCTAGAAAATAACTTTGTGTGGCTATGGCGCATGGAGCTGGACCAAATAGGTGAGAAGATGACTAACGTGGTAGAAAAGTATAGAGCCAGAAGGGCCATTAGCATGGCCCATGGGAGGCTGCAACTATTTGAGACTTAAAATGACCCAAAACGATCCTTGGGCCCAACCTTCGTATAGGAAGGAAGCAAGCTGAAAAAGCCGCCCCCAAGGAAGGCATATTCTCCAATGCCCTCTTCAGATGTGGTCAATGAGAATAATTAGGCCAGACATGGTGACTCACACGTATAATCCCAGCATTTTGGGAAGCCGAGGCAGGAGGATTGCTTGAGACCTCCTCAACTCGTGTTCAAGTCCAGCCTGAGCAAATAGCAAGACTCTGTCTCTACTACAACAACAACAACAAAAGAATCAGTATCATTAACTTGTCCTACTTTAGTTGTTCTGAATTCAAAATATTTCACCCTGCCCCAGGTATCCCTGTTAACAGAAATTCCTGTAGATAGGAAAAGACAGGAGAATGACAGATCTAACATGCTTTGACTCATCACCTGAGAAGGCTGCTCTGTAACCAACTGTTTCTCATTTCCCCTTTGCACTCAGGGGTTTTATATGCAGTGGGTGGGTATACCATGGGTGACAGGTGAGCCTCTCTCTGTGAAGTGGGGGCAGGGCCACGTGCCCAGGGCTTCCTCCAGCAGTTTTAGTATAAAATCCTAGATGGAAGCTTTAGAACCTGGAAATTCACTCCCTTAAACTCTCTGTATTGTGTACCCCATGGGAAGTCTTTGGTGTTCCTGCACATCCTGGTTTGAAAACCAGAGCCTGGCAGAGAAGCAAAGCGGGTCAAGCAAGTTGAGGGCTGCTGAGAAACCCCTCCCACGCTGTCCCCTGGGCCTGCTCAGCCCTGCTCGGTGTCCCCCTGCTTTGGAGCTCTTCCATGTCCTGCACTCAGGCGTCCTCCTGACACTGAAGGGCAGAGCTTCAGGCTGATTGCCTGGCAGGGAGCTCTCCGTGAATGCACTTCATGCCCACAGACTGGGGTTGTTTGCCTTTGCCTGGAGAGGGAGGCTCATTAAAAGCCTGCACTTTTATGCAGAAAGATCTGGATTCAAATCCCAGCATTGCCATTTTAGAGCTGCGTGACCTTGGAGACATCACTTGATCTCTCTGAGCCATAGCTTTCTCACCTGGAAATAGAAGTACCTGCCTTGTAGTGTTGTGTGAGAGGTAAACGATATAAGGTGTATTAAGTAGTTGGTGCATGACCTTTGGCTCCAGACTCCAGTCTCAGAGCTCAGTTCACTACCCTGTTCAAGGCCCAGTTTCTAATACTGGGATTCAAGGTGCCGGCAGATCTCATGGGCAGCAGTAAGTGCTTTGCTGGCAGATGGGCTACTGCCTGGCAAGGACTGGACAGCCTCGGCAGGACACTCAGAGGGGACAGAGTGCAGGAGGGGTTGGCCCTGAAGGGTCCTTCACAGCTCTCCCCGCTGGAGACTCCAAGCATCTGGGGCAGGGGGATTCTGGTGGTGGCAAATGGTCCCTCATTTGGGGCCTGCAGAGCTGGGGAGACTTCGAGCCAGGCAGCAGCCAGCCAGCCAGAGGGAGACTCCTTTGACTTGGCTGCCACCTCCTATCTCCAACCATCCCTCCCCTAGACTTTGCAGCCTGGTACCCAGGGCACCCTGACCTTCCCTGTCCATCCTGGCCACACGCCCTACCCTACCCCAGGGCTCACTCCAAAACTAACAGAGACCTGGATTTTATCCCAGGGGAGTGAGCTCCAGCAGGTTCTCACCTTACCTCATCTCACCTGCACCAACCAGGCCACTTCCTGATTTTCACTTCTTTACTTATAACCTGGGGCCGCACTAAGGCATGGGTTACTGTTCCATCAGCTTCCTGCTTATGGACTACACATAATCACTATAATCACAAATGTTCTGCAGTGGAGCTGCGTCTTGAGGCATGGTCTACACTGCAGAAGAGACATGATCTACGCTTCCATGGTCTACACTGGAAGCTGTGTGTGACCTTGGGCAGGTAACTTTTCCTCTCAGTGGCCTTTTCTTCCCCTGTAAAATGAGATAGTTGAATCAGCTCAGTGTTTCTCAAGGCATGGCCCCCAGACCACTGGCATTAGGATTGTCTAAGGAGAGTGATGATATGCAGATCCCCAACCCCTAACCCAGATTTAAGAAATCAGAACGTCTGGGGACAGGGCCCAGGAATATGCAATTGAAATTCACACCCTGCCCCACCTGCACAGGTGACTCTGACGCACACTGAAGCTTGGGAACCAATAGCGTCGATGGTCTCTGATCTGATGTTTGATTTCACTACAGTTTCTTTTAGAGAATCATATGGTATCTGCCGGGGCCTGGTGTTTGTCCATCCTAATCACAAGCACTCAGGAATCGAGGAAGGGCCTCACCAGTGTTCTGTAAGATAGTCACCTGGAGATAAGCCTCGATTACTGGAGGAAGGAAAGATGGAGCATTCAAACCATTGGAATTCCTCTCAGGAAACAGGCCGAGGTGGGGTGGAGGGGCCAGAGGCAGGGAGAGCTACAGGGAAATCCGACCCAGAGACACATTTAGTTCACTTCAAGTTTCCAGCGGAGGGATTTAACAGGTTTAAAGCAGTTTTCTGTGAATCTTTGTCAAGGGAGTGTATGTACAAACAAACAGGGAGGGTTTTTTTAGTAAAAAGTTAATCGGCTTAAAGTGTGCAACTAAATAAGCAAAGCTTACATTAAAGTGACCCATAGAGAAAGGACCCCATGGAAAGAAAGTTCTAGGAAATACAATATGGCCTCTATGTTCTTTTGTAGTTCCACACTATAAATATTCATGGGACGGTGTTAATGGGGTCCACAGCTCTATGCAACCACAATAGTTTTTTTGTTTATTCTCAGGACCATGAACTTTGAAACCATGACCCTAAATTTCAGGACTCTGCATTCAGGCGTGTC